CCATGAGTGGAGAGGCAGAATCCTATGTAACTCCACGTGATTGTTGAAGGAGCTGCCAGGCTCTTCCATAGGCGGCACCACTGTACAGCACTCTCAGCAGAGGACAGGGGTTCTCATTTCTCCCTGGCCTTACCAACACTTGTCATTCCTTTTGACAACCGCATCGTGGTGGTTATGAAGTGGTGTCTCACTGTGGTTTTGATTTGCATTTCCCTAATGACTAACAATGTTGAGCATCTTTTCCTATGGTTCTTGGCCAGTGATGTTTCTTCTGTGGAAAAATGTCTGTTCAGGTCCTTTCCCCATTTTTTACACAGCCATTTGGGTTTTTTGTTTGTTTGTTTCTTTTGATTTTTTGAGACACGGTCTTGCTATGTCGTTCAGGCTGGTCTTGAACTCACTATGGAACCCACACCAGCCTAGAATTCGTAGTGATCCTCCTGCCTCAGCCTCCCAAGTACTGATATTACAGGCATGTGGCACGATACTGTCAGGGCCATTTGTTTTGTTACTGAGACCTAAGAGTTCTTTGTATGTTCTGGACACAAGTCCTGCATCAGGTGGATGATCTGCAGATGTTTCTCATTCCCACAGATATTCTTATAACATGATGCTTATGTACTCATGTACATCACTAGCTGCTGAAGGTTTGCAGGGTACAGGTGCTCTGGGGTGCATCTTTTTAGATCTTCAAGTGTTGCAGAGAAAGGCAAGCTATACACGAGATGTTTCCCTTGCCTAAAAAATAGGCACCATTCTCCTCTTTCCCCTTGGCAACCAAATACATAAGTTCACTGCTGTTCCCATTTTTGGCAATCTAAAAAACTAAATTACCTTTCACATTGTTCTGAATTCCCAAGGTTGGCACCTTGTAGGAGGCAAAGCTCAGAACCCAGAGAGTCAGCCAGCAGCACTTGCATGATGCCATCCTCCCCTGCATCTCCACATAGCAGCTAGAGTTCCTTCTAGATGGTGCTGGTCATGCTTCTCTTCTAGACCTTATAAAGTCCTCCTTATCTGCTCTCCCCATAAAGACTCTGCCTCCTGTTGTTCTATCACCTCATGCCTCAGGGACTCCATGCGCCTCTTCTCTTATCTAGAATGCTCTGCCAGGTCCTGGGCAGCTCCTATACAAGCTTTGAGTTTTGGCTTCAACATCACCTGCAGCTGAGGTCTTTCCAAGGCTCCTCCCTGACATCTGTCTTTGTCTTTCTGGAATCTATGTCAGTTTAATGTGGGCTCCTCCACTATGATAACTGAGCCCAACAGTGGTCTCACAGACCCCTGGTACAGGGCTGGACAAGTCACAACTGGGCCCTACATCTGGTGAGGGCTCATAGAGGCTCACAGCTGGTCAGAAATGCCTCAAGCTTTAGTGACAACTCACAGTCCTGGCTCTTAGGCCCCAAGGCTTAGAACAGGAGTTTGAAGACCCTCTGCTGCCCCTAAAGCAGCAATGCATGGCAGGTGCCATCTAATACATAAGGCCCAAGTGCTCACTTTGCCAGCACATATACTAGTACATTAGGCCCAAGCTAGCCTCTACCAAGCCATGGGGTCTGGGCACAGATGCCTGCCTTCCCTCACACCTCGATCCAGGGCACAGACACATGGGGCTGAGCCTCTTCCCAGCAATCTCCTATTATTTAGTGGTCCAGAGAAGAAACATCAAGTCCCTCAATACTCCCAGCAAAATAAAGACCCTAAGACCCCTATATTTTAAACCAGTGAACCAGTTACCTACTGAGTCCCTAGTATGTGCTTCATTCTAGTCCCAAAACACTCACAAAACAACACCAGGCCAAGGTAAGCCCCTAGCCAAAATTAGCAGCACAAACCACCCAAGAAATGATCCCCAAAAGCAACAAAAGCTGAAGCTAATCAACATCTCACACCTAGAGCAGCACCATCGAGAAAGCCCTCTGCAGTGACAGAATATTTATGTTATAGTCACTGGCCACAAGAGGCTCTAGAGTACTTGATGTGGGACTGTCCACACAAAAATCCAACTCCCAACTTGCAAAGATGGAGAGGACAGAAACACACCCCAAAGCACTGCAGAGTGATAGCTCAGAGACAACTGGGAACCCAGGGTCACAGAAGCCAGTTTATTGAATGAATTGCAGAAGGGGAAAGAGATGGAGGAGCATAACATCAACAGAGATTTAAAAGACATTAGGTAATTACACTATGAAGACTTTACTGAGACTCTAATTCAAACTATCAAAAAAACCAGAATGAGCTGGGCATGGCGGCACACGCCTATAATCCCAGTACTCGGGAGGCTGAGGCAGGAGGATCACTGCAAGTTCGAGACCAGCCTGGGCTATAAAGTGAGCTCAAGGCCAGCCTGAACTGCATAGCAAGACCCTGTCTCAAAAATACAAAAAATAAACAACAACAACAAAAAAAAAACAGAAGGAAAACTTGAACACACTGCACATTTAATGGACTGAGGAGTAATAACAAATGGCATAACAATGGGTTTTAGGTGTGTTTAGGGAGTTATGATACACTTCAAAACGCTCACAGATTAAAGACCAGAATTCTGGAAATTACTCAAAACATGGGCGAGGGTTGATATGGGAGAGGAGGTGAGATTTACCACCCGGTTCTGACTACTTTTCTCTGTAAGGAAGCTTTAAATTCTCCATAGCAAAGCTTCAAAAATAGTGCAGCAGCAACATTTTGCCAATAACGTCATCTTTTTCAAGCTGCCACCTCCCAGCAGCATCATTTTAACCCAAGAAAGACCGGAAGGTTGTGGTGTTGGAAGCCCAAGGCACCCTCCCATCTGTCCTGCCTCATGTCAGGCTGGCCAAGGAGTCACAAACACAGCTGCCCAAGCCCCTTACAGAGGCTGTTGTTGACAAGAGAAGGCAACGCTTGCAGGGTACCTAAACACTCATGTGAGAGGCTGCCCTGTGTCTGTGGGCTCGCCCTTAGAGAAGCTCCCACTGGTTCCCTAAGGAGTGTGCTGAATTAAAAACCCACTAAACACAGATGGTGGCCTGGAGGACCAGCAGGGGTATCTCAACATCTCCCTAAGGCCCCAGTTTCTCATGTGTCCCTCTCATCTCTGGAAATCTTCCAGAGACACCCTTGTGGGTAGAAAGAAGAACGTGGAGTCTCCTCCTTTCCTCTCACCTGCCCACATAAGGTCACCTTGATGTCCCATCACACACTGAGAAGGGCCAGCACCCTAAAAACCCTGCCACCTCAGGCCAGATCAGGTCACCAGCTCCCAGAAGACTCATTTTAACAAAACCCAGAGCTGGGCGTGGTGTCTCATACCTGTAATTGCAGCACTTGGGAGGCTGAGGCAGGAGGAATGTCACAAGTTCGAGACCAGCCTGGGCTACAAAGTGAGCTCAAGGCCAGCCTGAACTGCACAGCAAGACCCTGTCTCAAAAAGACAAAAACAAAAAACCCCAGACCGGAGCCTAAGGAGGCACAAAAAGCGACAGCCTGAGAGTGAACAGCGCTATACACCCCTCATCCTTTATTTCCTGGATAGCTCCTGGGAGGCTAGCAGGGGGCACCAGGGGCTAGGGATGTGGGAACAACAGAAGGAGCTAGGCCTGACTCCCAGAGCAACCAGTTGGCAGAAACTGAGATACCCTCACCGACAGCATCCAGAAACAAAGGGTGGAGTGGATCTGACGCAATTCTGTGGGCACTGCTGGCAGGCAGAAGGGGGCCCATCTCCACAGAGACAGCGGCGCCACAGTTGCTCAAGTGGTCAAGGAGTACAATGACAAGCCCAGAACAGCCCCCAACCACTGTTCCCAACTAGCCATGGAGAACTTGCTCTTTCCTACCCAGACTATCAAGCAAAACACCAAGGACAAAGGACTCTCTTATTAAAGGCAGCTCCATATTGGAGTCACCAAGAAGCATCACAAAACCAAAAGGCAGAAAAGAGCCCTCCTCCAGATTAACAGGCCCAGGATGTCACAAGCTCCTCTAGGAGATTCCAGCAGGGACTTCTGGGCTGAGGTGTCCAAAAGTGCCCAGGAAATCTAAGGAGTTGGGATTAGCAGGCCCTGAAACTTTCCCCAGCCCCCGGAACTAGTATCTACAATCTCAGTCCCCTACCCACTTCTCAGTCCCATTCCGCGTCCTGGCACCTCACAGATCCAATTCGCCCTCACCATGTCCAGGCTGTATACCTTGAACAAGTCTCATCGTATCTCCAGAGCTATTTCATCAACTGCAAAACTGGGGTCCTGATTGTACTTACTCTGCCAAAGTCAAGTGCGATGATCCCTAAGAGTTTGGCACAGGCCTGGCTCAGGGATTCTCTCAGTAAAGGCTACCTATTACTATTACCTCCACACTAAACCCGACGCTGTCTCTTAAGCGTTTTACCCCTCCCACTGTTTCCAGAATACCGCTGCAATAGAGCACCCTGAGGCCTTTCAAGACCTTGGCTGGCCTGTGGGTCCACCTCCCACCCTTCCCCAACCCTTCACACCATTCCTGCAGTTGTCACACTTGGCCACGTTCAGGCACCTTCCCTTCTTCACATCTCAGGTGCCCTCCCCTCTTCCTCTGGTCCCACCTCCCGGCCCCTTCCTTCACATCAGGACCATTCTGCCGCGTCCAACCAAGACCTGCCCCTCCTCCACACCGACAGAAACCCCGCCTCCCAGAAAATCCTCAAGCCCCAGGCCGCATCCCAATTAGCCTCTAATTAGCTTCTAATTAGTGTGTGCTAGCTCTCTCCACATACCTCGATCTTTCCGCCCCGCCCCGCACGCTGTCAGCTCCCGCTCTCGGAACCCCACCGCGAGGGACCTCTGTTGTCAGAGAAGCCAGGACTTTCGGCCTGCCCCCTCCCCCCGGCCACGCCGGCCGCAGTTCCAGATTTTCCTTATTTAGTCGGGCCGACAGCCGCGCCGGAGCCTCGCCCTGGGAGCGGCCTAGCCCCGCCGCGATGCTCTCCCGGCCACCCGGAGCCATGGCAACCGCCAGCCCGCCCAGGCCCGGCTACTCACAGAGCTGTGGTGTCCGCAGGGATGCGCAGTGCGGGCCCGAGCGTCAGTAGCCCGCGGCCTGAGCAGTTGACCAGGCAGGCGGCGCCCGGCGCCGGGCCGCAAAGGCAAGGGGGC